TGGCAACACGTACATCCAAGACGTTGCGAATGTCACGGAAGAGGTCGTTGAGGTCCTTGTCTGACATCTCAAACGACATGTTGCCGATGAAGAGCGTCTTGGACGGAGGGTTAGGCTCGTTGCCATTGGGGCCACGCCCCTTTGCCGGTTGATACTTGGGCGCGTGGAACTGAACGACAAGGTTGCGGCCTTCAAATACCTGCATGTCGAGGTTGTCAATAGCAGCCTGTGCATCACTAACGTTCTTGTATTCGACGTAGGCGAAACTAAACAAATGGCGTCAGTCAATATTGGGCCATTTGGGGCGGAGAATATTACCCTCTGCTTAGACCCCGGTTATCGTAGACGATCTTGATGCTCTCAATATCACCAAAGCGAGAGAAGACACGCTTCAGCTGATCTGGAGTAACTTCGTAGTAGAGGTTGCCAATGTAAAGCACATTGTGGGGTTCGATATTCTTGGATGTTCGTTCCCTCTTGCCCCGCGGGCTGGTCTGGCTAGGTTTGGTGGCGGCAGCCTCGAGCGCATCTGCGCCGACAGTGGCAGACTTGTCGGTGGGCTCTGCCTGCGCCTCTTGTTGTGCGGGCGTCAAGTTATCCTCGACAGGCGCCTCTGCTGCTGTCTGGGCAAAGTTCTCGGAGGCTTCTGCGGCAGCAGCCTCGGCCGAGTCGGTTTTTGACACCTCATCGCTAGCGAATCTCCGTTGGAAAGAGGCAATTGACCACTGTTGCTGCCTTGGACGGAACGCCGAGGGTGTGAGAGTAGTAATGGAGCGCGGCTGCACCAGATACGCCTTGGAGGGCGAGGCACTGATGGCGCGGGCGGCAGCACGGCGGAGGAGAAACCTTCATGGTTGGTAAGTATGCATGGTCAACGTGCCGTATGGGTATGTCTTACATGGTGGCGATTGGACAAAAGCTGGCGATAGTCACTCGAAATTCCAGAGGTCGAAATGCGGTAAATTTTTGGACATGCATAGTAGTCCCGCGCTAGACGTCGCTCACGTGACGCAGCGTCGATCCTAGCCAGGGCGGGCGACAGACATGGTATAGTCGAGTCGAGTTTCCCCCGCCGACAATATTGCAAGCCGAGGGTGAGGGGCCTAGCGAATTAGTCCATACGCAGTATTTATGTGCACATGGCCGTGGTAGACCTGCCCGGGTGCAATCATACCGGCGTGCAGCATCCATGTCTTTTTGCTCAGTCCTTCTCGTCATGCCGCTAGGAGCAGGCGTGACATGCAGTAGTCATCGAGTCCATATTTGACATAATGGCACGGGGCAAGGCGACTGGTCGGCGGGGTCCGATGCGCGTTGCTTGTGTGTGTGAGTCTTGTTCGCAGTTCTGCATCCACCCCGGCATTCACAACTCCCACCCTTCAATGCCACCATGCTGAAAGGTAGCGCTCGCTGACCCTTCATCTCTTGCCCAACCATACTGATGTGTCCTGCAGGAGCATTCTCTGCCGACGCAGATGCGTCACCAGACTTTGGCCCTGCCCGCGACGATCATATAATTTCGTCAGAGGAAGACGAGCTCGATCTAGACGACTCGGACACAGAGGCTGGCGGCAGCGGGCGTACAAAAACCAATTATGGTGCGACTTCAGCATCGCAGCGAGGTGCCGACCCCAGCATGGAAGACGACGATGACGGTATACTCCCCCGCGACAAACAGCGCCGGACTGCCTTCTACGACTACACTGCTGAGAAGCAAATGAGCCACACCGAAGCCAAGCAGTTCTATCAGAGGCATCAGCTCGAGACACAGCACGGCGGCCCCCAAGCAGACATGCACAGCCCCGCCATGCGCGCAAAGACATTCCCCGCCAATCTCGGTGGCAATGACGGTGTCGACTTTCTCAGCAGGGCCGAGAGTGTTCGCTCGCGAAAGAGCAATGTCAGCCATGCCAACCATGTCCAACGGCCCTACATACCCATCGGCTCGTCGCACGCAGAGCAGTCGCATGAACCTCGTCGGCACATGACCCAGCAAGTCCCTGACCCTATAGGTGCCCACGATGAGACCGACCATCTTCTCCAGGCTGATCAACAGGCCCGATCGCATGGCCAACACCCTAATCTTCCTCATGAACACAAGCCTCTTCTGGCTGAACAAGGGATCCACGGTGCAGGTGCAGGCATAGGCGTTGGGGCAGGGGCAGGAGGATTCGCAATGTCTGATTCCAGCATCACTACTGAGCTCAGTTCCATCTACGCAAACATTCAAAAAGTGCTCGATCTGCGCCACAAGTACATCCGCCTGTCGTTGCAACGCTCTTTCGACAATCCCAAAGATGACCCAGCTTGGCGCATTTACCCATCTCCTCCAGAACCTGTGTGGAATGACACCTCCAAAGAGCGTCGCAATGCAGCTAGTAGCATGCAAAACAGCGGTATCCTAGAGCCGAATGAGATGCCTAAGCCACCTCGTAAAATGGGTACCAACATTGGCGAAGATTTCCACTTGGAAGAGTGCCTTCCCGTGCCTGGTCCTGGTGAAATGTCGTTCCGGCTTGACGACAGTGGCGTGTACCAAGTATATGAGACTGCCAAATCTGCTGAGCTTGATACACCCATCATTGCAATTCCAACGTTGCGCGAATTCTACATTGATCTCGATTCCATTCTGGAGATATCTTCCGACGGGCCCAGCAAAAGTTTCGCCTTCCGCCGTCTCCAATACCTCGAAGGAAAGTTCAATCTTTACTATTTGCTCAACGAATATCAAGAGACAGCCGATACCAAGAAGGTGCCCCACAGAGACTTTTACAATGTACGAAAGGTTGATACGCACGTGCACCATTCTGCATGCATGAACCAGAAGCATCTGCTGCGCTTTATCAAGTCGAAGATGAAGAAGTCTCCTGACGAGGTAGTGCTGTACCGTGATGGTAAGCATCTCACGTTGAGAGAAGTATTTGAGTCCATCAACTTGACGGCATACGATCTGAGTATCGACACACTGGATATGCATGTAAGTAACGACTTGAGTTTTTTGATACGACAATGCTAACCATACAGGCCCATACCGACTCATTCCACCGCTTTGATAAGTTCAACTTGAAGTACAACCCAGTTGGTGAATCACGTTTAAGAACCATCTTCTTGAAGACGGACAACTTCGTCAAAGGCCGCTATTTGGCTGAAATCACCAAAGAAGTCATTTCTGATCTCGAGGCGAGCAAGTACCAGTTCGTAGAATGGCGCATTTCCATCTACGGCCGAGACATTGACGAGTGGGATAAGCTCGCGGCTTGGGTTGTTGACAATAAGCTCTTCTCGCCCAACGTTAGATGGCTGATTCAAGTTCCGCGCTTGTTTGATGTGTACAAGGCAACTGGTCTAATGGACAACTTCCAGCAAGTCATCATAAATGTATTCCAGCCTCTATTTGAAGTCACCAAAGACCCTTCAAGTCACCCCAAACTCCATATCTTCTTGCAGAGGGTTATTGGCTTTGATAGTGTTGACGACGAAAGTAAAGTCGAGCGCCGCGTGTACAAGAAATTCCCGTTCCCGAGCGAGTGGTCTACGAAGCAGAACCCGCCGTACAGCTACTGGATGTACTATCTGTTTGCCAACATGTCGTCACTCAACGTCTGGAGAAAACAGCGGGGCTTCAACACGTTCCTCCTCCGTCCGCACTGTGGTGAGGCTGGTGATACCGATCATTTGGCTGCAGCAGTTCTTTGCTGCCACAGCATCAGCCATGGCCTATTGCTCCGAAAGGTGCCTCTTCTCCAATACATTTTCTACCTTGAGCAGATTGGTGTGGCCATGTCACCTCTCAGCAACAACGCGCTCTTCCTGGCGTATGAGCGAAACCCGTTCATGAGCTACTTCAGACGAGGTCTAAACGTCTCGTTGTCAACGGATGATCCTCTCCAATTTGCTTTTACCAAGGAGCCTCTGATTGAAGAGTACTCAGTTGCGGCGCAGATCTACAAGCTGAGTGCTGTGGATATGTGTGAGTTAGCCAAGCATTCAGTCGAGCAGAGTGGCTTTGAGCATGTAGTCAAGCAAAAGTGGTTGGGTAGCAACTATCATCTCCCCGGTGTTGCGGGTAACGACATGGCAAGATCCAATGTGCCCAGCATCCGCGAAGCATTCCGACATGAGACTCTCATGGGAGAGCTAGCCATGTAAGTTTTGTGCCTGGAGCCTTTCTTGGATATTCATGCTAACGCCACCAAGGATTGATCGCTACACTCGCGCAGCCCAGGCTGGCAGCCACGACCTAACTAGCTCCAACCTGCAATCCGAGGTACCCCAGACGCCCAAATCGCTCCAAGGAGTCACGTTCCCCGGGTCACCAACGCACGCCTCAGCCGCGGGTAGCAAACAATTCTTCTCCATGCTCCCCCCTGCTCAAGTCGCCCGCCTCAAGCCCTCAGGATCCACCGCCGACGCAGCCAACCCGCAAACTCAACCGGCGTCACCAACCAGCGCCCACGATGGCAGCAACGCCGACCGTCCGCACCGCAGCACCAATATGGCCGTCAACCACAACGCCGTGCCTGTAGCCCAGCCGCCAGTAGACGGCCAGGCCCCACCTACCGGTTTAGATGAACCAGACACGGGACTAAGACGTTCAACTAGTTCCGTCACGTTGGACGGGGAGCCGAAATTGTTCCCAGGTGTTGTGAGCAGTAGGAGTCGTAGGCGCAGCACGAAGAATAGTCAAGCTGAGGACGGGGAGGCGGCGAGTTCGCGGCTGAGAAGGTATCCGACGGGGGAGACGGAGAGTGTGGTTGAGGAGAAGGACACGGATGATGAGGAGTGAAAAAGGATGGAATTTATGATGGTGACTTGAGATGGCAATTATCAATACTAGACATGAGTTTATTTGTTTCGGGTTGGTCTTTTGTATACTCGTTACTACTTCATATCTATATTGACGACTGCTTTATGATCCAACCTGTGTCTTGGTGCAGGAAGACATCTGTCCCTCCTATACACATGCTAAATACCAAAAAATTTGTAGGAAAATCGTTCTTAATTATCGCATGCATCCGTACGTTGATGAGATAGAGACGCCAAAGAAAAAGACGCAAATGCTCGCTGTACGGACGGAAACACATGCCAAAAAAGGTCCATAGTAAAAAGATGCGAAAAGCCAGCGCCAAAAAGATCAAATGAGCAAAAATAGATGTAAAGAAAAAACTAAGCTAAAGAAAAGAAAGTCCAAACTAAGGACACAAAATTCCAAGCTTAAGAATTGATAGTCCGCGAGTAACAATCCAAACACCAGGCATCCCCCTCTTCCCCCACCTCCACTATACACTTTTTACAAATCGCCTTGGCACAGCCAACACACTGCCTCGCGCAAATGAAGCACGTTCTCCCCTCGCACCTTCTGCAGTCGAGATAGTTTTCCAGATCCTTCTTTCGCGTGGGTGCCTTCTTGCACGCATGGCACGAACGCAGATCGGAGACGGCATGGTGATGTGCCGGCGTCCCGCAGGTAGTAGGTGATTGAACGTCGAGATCGATATCCATGAGGTGCGAGGTTGATTTTATGAGGGAGGCTTTAGGACTGAAGCGTTTGAGCTGTTTGACAGGCCGGCGGTCTGACGAGAAGTCGATGGGTTTTGAAGGGAGGAAGGCGTAGGAGAGGTTGTTGTTGGAGTCGAATGGCGGGGTATTGGGGTGGTGGAGGCGGGTGGTGTCACGGCTTAGGGATGAGCGGTGTTGACGTGGAATGCTCTTTGGAGAGATATCGGTGCCGGATGTGTGAAGTGAGGTACATGGGCGTTCGTATAGTTGTGGTCTGTCATCGCCTACTTGTCGCTTTCTCTTGCCAAGACCGGCGGCGGGCTGGTCGGGGGCAATGGTGTGCCAACTGTGTGATGTGCCGTCTTGTTCCCAATCGCGTGCGGTGCTGGGGCCGAAGAGGTCGGAGGTAATATATACCATGGTGGCGGTTGCGGCGGTTGTTGTGGTTGTTGTTGTGGTGATGGCTTTACGGCGAGGTGAAGGAGTACTGGTGGTCTTGAAGAAGGCGAAAAGAGGTGGAACGTGCGATGATGCAACCAAAAGACACTGGTACCAGAACAACACCACACGTGTCAGGCAAAGCAGTGGCTGCAGACAGAGTGCGGGGCGTGGGTCTCGAGGGGGAAGAGAGCGACGGAGGGTTGGGCCCAATGTTGTTGAATACGAAGTCGACGACGGCAACAACGACGAGAGAGGACGGACGGTCTGTTGTCGGGCCTAGAAACAAGGCACATGCTCGGCGTACCTGACTAGCGGCCGAATCAGGCACCCGGCAGGGGACCGGCTGACTTGACCCCCACGACGCGCTTCACGTGCTGCCAAGCCTCTCCCTTCACGCTCCTCTTGACACGCGACGGGCGACGGCAACGAGAACAGCGACGACAGCAGCATTTGCGCACAACAGCGCTTGCACATATCTCCGGTCCTGGCATTATTGCATCTGTGTCATGTTCGCCGCCTGCGCGTGATTGGCATGACATCGCCATCCGCAGCACTACTACCGCATACCCCACACTGTGATACCCCCTGCACGCTGAAAGCTGGAGAAGATGGACAGCGTCAATGTCTCTGAATTGGTCGCCCGCCTCGGCGCGGAGGAGGAGTCGGTGCGCAAAATGGCCGTCTTCAAACTCCAGAATGCCATCGGCGACCCTTCATTCGCTGATGTCTTCATCTACGAAGGGGGCCTGCCCAAGCTGCGCTTCCTGGCCCTGCACTCGACCGGAAACACACTGGCCTATTGTCTCACCTCTCTGGCCCGCCTGCTCGAGCTGGACAAAGGATGGGACCATGTCACGGATGATTTGATTGCAAGAGTAAGTCAAGAGAGGAGAGACTGTTGTGCGTGAGTACATCTAACCAGTGCACAATAGATAGTCGACCTCGTCGTCGCACAACCACTTGTCAACGTCAACCGAGGTGCCATGTCAGTCCTCGCTGTAATCGTTGGTCATCCCTCACACCGAAGCTCCCACTCGAGCACTACAGGCTTCCAGCGCCTCAAGCCAGCCGTCGACGCCCAGCCCCAGTTCCTGTCATCCTTGGTTGAGAAGATTGCGTCGGCCGACCATGCGCTCTGTGCGAACTCCCTCCAGCTTATCAATGCGTTGATGCGTGACGCCATTGCAAACGATGCTGCCTTCGAATGGCCCAAGTTCATAAAGCAGCTCCAGGAACTGGGCGTGATCAAGAGCGTATATGGGCTCATGCAGAGTACCGCAATACAAGACCTAGCCCACCCGTTGTTGGACTTTCAAACATTGACCAAGACGTTGCTGAGGAATTGGAGGGAAGAAAAGGTGGATCTGGAAAATCCCGACCATCGAAGAGCTATTCGGGGCCTACACACTGCGAGTCAACCAGACAGGCCATCGTCAGATCCAAAAGGCAGCAAGAAGCATCACCCGGAAAAATGGAGCCGGCTGGGGTTCGAGACGGAGGAGCCGGCATGGGAGTTCAGCGGGACTGGATTCTTGGGGCTTATGGATGTTACCGACTTTGTTTATAAAAACGAAGATGGCTTTCAGAAGCTTTTACTGGAGCAGTCGGCCGAGCCAGCCGAGCAGCGGTGTCCGATTGCTCGGGCGAGTCTTTCGGTCACGCAAACACTATATGAGCATTTTGAAGTGGATAAATTGGATGACGTTGAGTCTCTCCGCCATACCGACTCGCGGGCCAACTTTGACCGAGCATTCAAGCCTCTGTTGCTGCATTGGTCTAGGTTACACACAAGTGGTCTGAATGCCTTCATCCGACTGTGGAAAGCAGCAGGCGCGCAGATTGAAGACTTTGAAAAGATTGAGGAACTGATTCGCATCTTGATTGAGCAGGTGGTCGGGCAGGCACCACGAATGAAGGATGTCAAGGAAATTGAAGAGGAGCTGGCAGAGTTTGAGCTCAAGCGGCTGCGAGAATTGCAGATGGAGGTGCTTGAACTGACGTATGAAGATGCATGGGGCCATCACCTGCGGTATGCAGTTTGCCTGTTATATGCCGTGCCAAGCTAACACTCCACAGTCAAGTTCGCGACGAGCTCAATCACGAGGCGCTGCAGTTTGTCAAAGAGCAACGTATAAGATGTTTGCTTCAGGGCGCATGGTTCCCAATGGGAACAGACTTTGGCACAAACACCGGCCCAGTGGCTGGCAACCGTGCAGTGCCTTCGTCGTGGCGCTTTGTTCGACTGTCACACAACCGGCGATACCTGCACTACGCTGACTTTGATGAAAAGACGGCGACAGAGCCGAAATTAGATGCCCTGCAGGAAAAGAGTAAGTACTACGCGCTCCGCTAGGTGCATCCCAGGGCCCAGTAGCATTTTCGCCGTGGCTGACACGTAAATCAACAGTCGATTTGTCCATTGTCTCATCGGTTGTGAGCAATGTCTCGGCTTCGGCCCCATCGACATCATCGTCTGACAGTACGGTGAGGACGCTGCCAGGCCATGAGCGGGCGTCGACATCAACCAAAATCACAATCCACGGGTACATGGCTCTGTCCAATCATGCACGGCAGACGTCGAGTGGGTCGGGTGCAGGACGCAAAGAAACCGTACTGTTGCATCTGCACCCTCAAAGCCATACCCTTGCTTCCGAGTGGCTTGATGGGCTGCTGATGCTTCTCAACCAACAGCCGATTACGGCGAATACCAACAAGCTTGTGACATTTATCGGGGGCTATGGGCTCAAGATCCGGCTGCTGAACGTACGGTACGAGGACGTGGGGCTGGAGGAGCCAGTGCTCCCCAGCCGCGAAGGGCTGGACGACGAGTATTACTGTAAGTGTTTTGGTGTGGAGTGGAGGTGGCAGGTGGACCTTGTACTGACGCATCACGTGTAGATGACATTGCAGGAGCTTGAGGAGGAGAGCGACAGGCAGTTGCCTGCAGACGAGGGGGTCTTTTGACAAGCAAGTGCAAGCAAGATGGATGTGCACGGTGGAGGTGGGTATGTATGTGGGAAGGAGTGGTTGGGGCCGGAACAGGGCGGGGTGCAGGCTGTTGGGTAGGCTAAGGACAAGTGTGCAAAGTCCACTTTATAGTGCTTGGGGGTGGCATGGCGGGGTATGTGCCGAAGGAGGTGATTGCTGGCGAGCTGAGGATGTTCAGACTGGCGGTTGGGGGCTGGCGGTTGGCCGGTGACGGCGGGTAGCGGAGGCGCTTCTCTTGAGATACCCTTTCCTTTGTTGGATACTTGGTGTACTTTCTCTACTTGGTTACATTCGCACTTGGATATTGCATGCCACAAGATCAGCATCAGCAACCTATTTGGTGCTGCAACGAATCAGCCGGCGGCCAGACGAGTGAGTGCTTTGTGCTACTTTGTTTTGCGCCATGTTGCACAGCGCATGGCCGGGACGTTGCACGGGACGTGCTTGGGGGGGCAGTTGTGCTCTGGGGCGGGCGGTCAGCAGGCAATATTCCAGAAGCAAATACGCGTGCTCTGGACGTACATCATACGGGAGCCATGGACAAAGACTAGCTGGTGCGCGATCCCATGGACCGGGTATAGGAGCGGCCATGCGGTGTGTCGCACGCTAGGAGCGCCGCGAGACCCGCTGACGGTCGGAGGGTGGAGACGGCGGCTCTGAAACAGCGAAGGCCAATGGTGGAGAGCAGAGAGTTGCAGAGACTCATCGCTGTGGATTGACTCTCGGAGGAACCACTACGGCTCTACCAAGGTCCGTCCGTGTGCGTGAGCGCCGTGGACAGGACAGGAGGCTGCTGCACCGCTGCCTTAGCTGCACATGTGGCATCCCGTCACCCAATATGCTCCCGCCCACCCGGTGCATCTGTCGTAACCACGCTGCCTCACTAGAGCTCTCTGCTCTCCTCTGCTCTGCTCTGCTCTGCTACCCTCTTGCGCTCCATATAGTCCCTTTCTTTTTCTTCAACATCACCAGCCTAGCCCTTGTTTCCACCTCGGATAGCCTGCCGGCCCGCCATTGAATGCCCACCATACGTGCATACATACATACATACATACACACACACATACAGGCAATACTTACATAGTACTTTGCACACCACCCTTCACAGCCGGCCCATTTGCCTCACCCTGCCCAGGGCGGCCTCGGAGCATCCCTCGTCCTGTCATCCACAAACACCACCAACCCCGTGGCTGAATGCCTCTTGTCCCTGGCCCCCAGACCGACAACAACGCCATCGCCATTTCAGACTATTCGAGCCGACGCCATGAGGAGCAAACCCAGAAGCACTACGCTGCCTCTCCCACAGGCGGAGTTCGAGGCGCTGCCCGATTCGGTCCAGTAAGTGCAACTAACCGCTTGTGATTGGCCCGCCAGTGTGATAGGGGCGCATACATCACGTGCAGATACCGATACCCACCCCCCACCATGAATGGCTGTACCTTGCAGTAGCATGAGGACACCCTTGAGAATGTCGTCGCTAATCAGTCCCCTTCTAGGAGAAAGTACTTTTCGTCCTTGGAGCGTCTGCAGATCCAACGGCAGGCCTTGGACGAGCCTACATCAGGCCGCTCTTCCCAGGCCAGTTCCTCCAGACTCCACCGGCCCACGTTGTCACTAGGTGCCGTACGCCGCAGACGCAGACTCGAAAAGCCTGTGCTCGAATACGACATCTCGCTCTCTGACGTTGAGTTTTTCTTCTCTCTACCCGAAAAAGTCCGCAAACAGCTGTTTTCGCGCGAGGAACAGTTGCTTCTTCAAGGCTGGCGTGAACATTCCTTCATTGCCGACGACCAAGACTCCGAGTGGGCACAACAACGCTTCGACGACTTCCACTTTGACTTTTTACAGCCATCCCGTCTCGACGCTGCCGAGCGCGGACGCTCCCTGAGACCACATTCAGTATCGTCAGCAGAAAGCCCACTGAGCGGACCGAGCGGCCTCTTTGCGGCCTTGGAAAAGGACCCGGATCACTCCACTACTCCTTCATACCTCCACACCATGGCCAATCCTACTCCTATATTCACCTCCAAGGAAATGCCCGCCCGCCACACGAGGAGAACAATGTCCCTTACTTCTTGTCCTGTCCGCGGTGGATCCTCCTCCTCTCCCTTTGGGCCTCCGTTCCTTAGTGGTATCAACACTCGCCCCCACCAACGTTCACAATCCTCTTCTCTCACTGGCCGCACGCCAGTCCACACACCCGTTTCTCCTGTATTCGACCCCGAGGCCACTCATTACCAGGACCCGGAGGCGAGGAAGAAGCTACGCATGTACCTTGCTTCTCCTCAAAAGTTTGACGAAGCCATAGAATTCGGCTTCCCATCATCAACAAGGCCCGACACTGCTGCACCGCACTACCACCTACCACAGATTGACACTCATGCCTGCAAGTTCAGTCGGGACATGCAAACATTTCTCAGAGATGGGCAACTGTCCTTCTTAGAGGATGAACGTCACGATAACGAAGGCTTGGCATCAGATGCCGACTCTGTCGCCGACATGGAATCGCCTGCCACACCCTCCAGTACTGGCGTCACTTTTCGTATACATTCTCGCCAAACATCACACCGGAACTTGTCCCTGGATTCACCAATGCCATCGCCTGTACACTCAACACACGCCCAACTAAACCGGGAGATGACTCTGCGCATGACCTTGACCCGTCCGGATCTCCGTGCAGACGAAGACCAGTTGTACGGCTGGCAAGGCGCCTCGTCCAGCCCCAAGCCTCAGAATGACGATCCCTTGGCGCTAGAGGATCTTGTCTTCAGCGACGATATGACTGGCACCAAAGGCGCATTCTATGTTAAGCCCAAGCCGCGCGGAAACCTAGTCAGCCGCCTGCTGAAGCGCGCCAGTTTGAAATCTCGATGAAATACATCCGCTAGTCACTCGAAGCGTGTCACCCTTATGGGCCTCGTGCCCTCTTTTTTCTAGTCCATTTTTAAAACCTGTTATTACTTTCTTAGTTCTAATTCACCAACAGGTCTGCTGCGTTTGAGCGGGCGTTTTTGTTGTTGTTTCTCTTTTGGTTCGACACATTGGTTTGGGCGCCAGAATTGTACGATATACTACGATGCACGATACGATTCAGATGCATGAATGAGGCGTTTTCCTTTCAACCCACCCACACCAGGTTCTTCCTGTGCAATTCAGCTAGTCAAGTTCATCAAAGAATGATTTGCGGCATCCATTGAGATCGGCATGTCATTGTAAGGATTATTACACTGAGCCTGACTCTCTCTTTGTTCTTTCTTTTTCCACCAAAAAGCGTCTTCGTTGTATTTGTCACTTTGTTTTTTGCCCTTACTCGAGCGTATCTATTGGCAATAAAGCTACCTTTGCAGAACAGACCAGGTTGTCTCGTCTGTCGACTACATTCTATTTCTCTCTCCCTTATTTTTCCAAATAGTCTTTTTCCCCTTCTTTTTGTTTGTTACATGACTAGTTATCTCCTCCACGGATCATTGCGATGCTGTTCGGAAGAGAGAACGAACCTAAAGGGGGATACCGGCACACGGGCCCCCCATTTGGCCCAGGATGTTGTGTTTCGAGCTAAAGTACGGCAAAAAACGCGTCCACCCCACATATTAAACGAGTTGGTAGAGTAGCCGGAAAACAAATCCGTATGTGTACATATGTTTGTCCACAAAGTATTACTGCATGAAAGTAAATAACAAGGGTGGTTTTTACAAATGGAGCCAAGATTGTCAAACACATGTCAGTGCGCTTATGATTACCCTCTACACAGGCAACGATCAGCATCAGCGTGCTTACATGACATATGTCGTGTCCATGTTCTATTTGATGAAAAGAAGAAAAGGCGAGAGCGGGATGTTTGTGATTACGGTTAGAAGCCGGGGTGGGGCGGCAACAACGACGGGCGCATGAAGTCCGAGTCGGCAGAAAAAAACGGTTATACTTCTGAAGGCGCGGCACACGCGTGATAACAAAAGCCTGAGGCACATTAGTTAGTTCGAGGGGCAAGTATGATACATGCTATTGCTACAGAAAAAGCAAAAAAAGTTGCGACATTGGCGTACACGCCGGTGAGAAAGCATGTAAGCAAAGTAAAGCATATAGGTTCCGTCAGCCTGTATTAACTAAGCTTGAGATAGAGTGCCGTAGTGCAAGGCTATCCATGTTTTTTTTCGGTCCTCCATCTTTGCTACAACGTGTGTATGACGGGATGTAGCTACACACTACCTTCTCCGTGCACTCTTACACCTTCTACCAAAAACCCCTCACCGATAATCCAAAATCTACGAAGAGAAAAGAAAGGAAAGAAAAAGTTTCCGCACAGCCAAACCCTTCCTCTTCACCAACACATTTCCATTTCTCACCTCATCCACAGCCCCCCCCCCCCCCCCAAACCCCCCATACCCGCTCCGCCTCTTCCCCCATCCCCACCCCCAAAACCGCCGTCCCTTACCAAACCCCCAGTCGCACCACCCCAACTCTAAGCCCCCCCACGGTAGTATAGAAACACAACACGCACACCCTTAGTTCCCCCCTCTCCCAACTCCACACTATGCTACAGTACTAAACCATAGCATTCCTTGGCACTCGCAAGATTGACCACGCCACTTCGTCTAGCCCCCCGCCTTCTCAGCCACCTTTCCCTCCCTTCAGCTCCGCGGAGAAAAGAACAAAGGGGGGAAGAAGAGTGTGAGAGAGAGAGAGATAGAGAGAGTGAAATATCTGGTTCTTACTACTGGTAATGCTGTGAACTATTGCTAGTTACCTACTAAGCGAACGAGAGAGCGAGAGAAAACGTTAAGGTTTTTGTGGGTGAAGCAACCTAGACCCCCCCTTTAGCTGTTTTTTTTTCCTTCCCACAACTTTACAATTTGGGGGGGGGGGGGTTGGTGGTGACCCGGGACCGGTTCGTTGGTTTGATCGGTGTGCTGGGTTGGAAGGAAAATAACTGGGACTAAGTGTGTGGATTAGTTGGAGAGGGAAGAGAGAGAGAAAGAGTAGAGTTGTTTGGTGGCCGCATCTTTTTTTTTTGCGTCAGCCGCTACTACCGGTAGTAGGTGGAGGTAGAGGCATGATGAAACGTGCTAGTTTTGCTAAGCGTTGGTGGTGGGGGATAGTGTGAGGAGTTGGGGAGAAGAGGCTTCGGCAGATGCGAGATGGAGGGGTTGAGAGTGGCTTGTGTTGGGGGATGTTGGTGAGGAGTTTGGTGGAAGATTTACTGGTGTGCTGGGTTGGGGGTTGGGTTGGGGGAGCTGGGACGGATAGATCTTTTTTTTGGGGGGGGGGAGGGTTTCTTTTGTGAGGTACTTACGTATGGAAGGGGAACGGGTGGCTCGTGGGTTTGGAGGACAGAGTGTAAGCGAAGCTATAGATATTATCATTTAGATAGTTAACCATCTTGAAGTATATTTATTGTGAACTGGCAAATGCTTATGTTTTTGCGTGACTAGACACATATACCTCTTCGACACATCGACTAGTAGCGTCAAGCACGAATTGCCAACTTCCCCTCTTACCATCCCAATCCTACCATCACAAAAAAACCACCCCAAGCCATACACACCACTACACCTCGCAACAGTATCAGTGTTTCCAAGACCCGGAAGATCAGCACATCCATTCTAGACGCAGCATCTAAATCCTACAAGACCCACAGAATTACGCGATATACATTTCTGCTACGGCAAAAATCAATCCATATTACCCGTAGTATACCTGCCTGCATCACCTCGCCCGAATACATACACATGAATCTAACTATACGCCTGCAGTATGCAGGAGTCTACAGAAGCAGACCAACAGGCCAAGAATCTACTAGGATACACCGGCGCAGGGTCTTATTACATATGCGAAAAGAGGAAACCCCACAACGTCAAGCGAACTGACGCAATCCGACTCGCTTCATGTACTTATAATTACAGTTTCATGCTACTCGAGCTATTCGGGTAACATGCAGCAGAAAGAACAGCTGTGGCGAACCCACTATCTGCAAGTCCCACTCCCTCTCGCTTCTTTACATGCAGGATTTGATTACGACTTTTCATGCATTAGATGCACCAGGGGTTGCTTGGGTTCACACACATTTCACGTCACGCCACTTGGTGGATCTCTAGAGACCTCTCGTAATCTTTTGTCATTGCTCGTGGTATTATCATCTTGCTGCAACGGATCACGGCAGTGTCATTCTTATTTTCTTCTACCTTGACAGCGCAATGTCGTCGATTCGGAGAATCATCTTGACTGTCTCGGCTGCCAACTCAATGGCGCTGGTACTGACCAACAGCGGCTGAAGCACATTCTCTTCGCTAATGTCGTTCTTGACGCCTCCGCTCTTGATGCTAATTCCCGCGTACTTTTGATCTTGCGCATGTCTATGCCTCAGCTCTGTGACGACCTTGATGCTGTTGAGACCTGCGTTTTCCGCTAGTGTAGTTGGGATGACCTCCATGGCATCGGCAAAAGCTTTCCAGCAGATAGCTTCAGTGCCGGTGAGTTCACGGGCCTTGAGGGAGAGTTGGTGTGCAATCTCGATTTCTGGAGCACCTCCACCAGCAAGAAGCGCCTTCTTCTTGACTAATGAGCGGATAGCGCAGTGTGCGTCATGAAGCGATCGCTCTGTCTCGTCCAGAATGAGACTATTGGCACCCCGGCAGACGATAGACACGGTGTTGACCACCGACTTGACACCCGAGACCTTGACATATCGAGCACCTGATGCCTGTACTTCCTCAACAAGGTCTGCCGAGCCGAGCTTGTCCTCTGTGAACGAGTCAATGTCGGCGATGGGCTTGCAACCAGTGCTCTGCTTTGTGTTAGCGTAAACTCTGATGATAGACTGCATGTTGACGCACCTTGCAGATGAACTCAATCTCATCGCGCTCGATGTCCTTGATAACCAAGATCTTAAGCTTTGACAAGAAATGCAGACTAAGATCGTTGACAGCATCGCGTAGAATGGACTTTTGGATAAAGAGAACATTGCACTTTGCTTTCTGGATCTTCTTGACCATGTTCAACAGATATGTCCGCTCCTCCTTGAGGATCTTGTCCATCTGCCTGTAGTCGTTGACAACAATCTGGTTTTCCATGTCTGGCTTGGGAGGGCTCAACTGGAACTGAATGAGGCCTATCCGTGCCTTTTCCTTAAGTGTGGGGCCGCCGGCGCTCTTGACTACTGGCTGGTTGAGAACTAGCCCGTCAATCATCTCACTGTCCTCAATAGTACCGCCCATCTTCTTGATCATGCGAATGTTCTTCAGGTCTACGTTGTCGGCAGTTTTGGGGTCGATGACCTTGAGCACCGAGTCGACGGCCATGATAGGCAGCTTTGGCTCTTGAGCGACAATCTTGGAAGAGAGGGAAGTGGTAGCGGTCTTGAGGAGAGTCTGCCTGTCGGTGAGAGAAATGGGGATGGCCATTTCGGTCAAGATGGATATGGCCTCCTGGGCTGCGCGCTGAAAGGCCTCGGATATGACTGTGGGGTGGATGCCCTTGGCCAGTAACCGCTCAGCAGCTCCGAGAAGACTGCCAGCAATAACAACGACTGATGTTGTACCGTCTCCAGCCTCGATATCCTGGGCGTGTGCGAGGTCGACGAGCATCTTGGCCGATGGGTGCATGACGCTCATTTGCTTCAACATGGTGGCTCCGTCGTTTGTGATGATTGTCTGGCCTCTGCTGGTTTGAATCTGTAGTGAGTCAGCCATTGACTTGTCTGAAGACTACGTATATCTAATTACCATTTTGTCCATTCCCTTTGGTCCCAGAGACTGCCGAAATATCAGTATTCGTCTTGTTCCCCGCACCCTGTGGTGAGACATACAGTTCGGATCGCATCTGCCACAGCTACACATTTTAAGTCAGCTTAAAGAGACCGAATATATGGGCGAGACCTCTATACCTCTTGCTGCAATAATGTTGGCACTGCGGACCGCTCTAGGCTTTTCTTTATCCTGTACTTGCCATCAGTCAATGTTTTCAGAGCTCATGGTGGAGGCAGCCGTACCTTGAAGGCAGCATTTCCGGCACCGCCTCCGCCGCTTGCAACTTGAGCAGCCATGTTTGGGGAATCGAGAGAAAACAAAGACAAAGGAGGGGTATCGTGGTGGGTTGGCGGGGAAGTTTTGAGTGCCGGGGACGCGAACCTGACAAGATTTCGAGAACGCGATAGACGTAGCGCACTGACAGTGACAAGCTCCGACTCGCCGGGCCCATCGCCGCATCAACCACAGCTACCACCTTCACTGCATAGCACAACACCCACGCCCGTACACGATCCCCACCACCAATACATCTCGTCCGACTGTCGCTCTCTTCATCTGGGACTTGTCAGACTCATCTCCGTCCACACACTTGCACACCCGCGTAGTTCCATTAACACCGGCCGCCCGACAGTCGCCGCCAACACCGCAGCCATGCCTTCAGCCACAGGCCAGTCCTGGGAGAAGTACCAGAAGAACTTTGCCGACGATGAGGTCGAGGAGAAGAAGATCACACCTCTCACTGATGAGTAAGCTTGGTCGGTGTTGTTTCCCCGGCATAGATGCTGACGCAATGGCAGAGACATCCAGGTGTTGAAGACATACGGCGCCGCACCCTATAGCGCCGAGCTGAAGAAGCTGGAGAAGGAGATCAAGGACAAGCAGCAAACGATAAACGAGAAGATTGGAGTCAAGGTAGTCTAGCCCATCATCGCCCTTGGCCTCCCCCACTCACCTCTCTCCAGGAATCAGATACCGGTCTCGCACCTCCACATCTATGGGACATTGCCGCCGACCGCCAACGCATGCAAGAAGAGCAGCCCCTCCAAGTCGCACGATGCACCAAGATAATACAAGACGAGAAAGACTCGGAAAAGAGCAAATATGTCATCAACGTCAAGCAAATCGCGAAGTTCGTCGTCAACCTGGGAGAGCGTGTCTCACCCACGGACATTGAAGAGGGTATGCGAGTGGGTGTCGACCGTAACAAGTACCAGATCCTGCTTCCTCTACCACCCAAGATCGACCCTTCAGTTACCATGATGACAGTCGAGGACAAGCCTGACGTCACATACGGAGATGTGGGTGGATGCAAGGAGCAGATTGAAAAGCTGCGAGAAGTCGTCGAGATGCCGCTGTTATCACCAGAGCGCTTCGTCAACCTCGGAATCGACCCTCCAAAGGGTGCTCTACTCTACGGCCCACCAGGAACCGGAAAGACGCTTTGCGCCCGAGCAGTCGCCAACCGAACAGACGCTACCTTCATCCGTGTCATTGGTTCAGAACTTGTCCAGAAGTATGTCGGAGAAGGTGCTAGGATGGTGCGTGAACTCTTCGAGATGGCGCGAACAAAGAAGGCGTGTATCATCTTCTTTGACGAAATTGATGCCGTCGGTGGAGCGCGCTTCGACGATGGTGCTGGAGGTGATAACGAAGTACAACGTACCATGTTGGAGCTCATCACACAACTCGATGGTTTCGACGCTCGTGGTAACATCAAGGTCATGTTTGCCACAAACAGACCTTCCACTCTGGACCCCGCCCTCATGCGTCCCGGACGTATCGACCGAAAGATTGAGTTCTCGCTACCAGACATGGAAGGCCGTGCCAACATTCTCCGCATCCACGCCAAGAGCATGAGCGTGGAGCGCGACATTCGTTGGGAGCTCATTTCCCGTCTCTGCCCCAACAGCACAGGTGCCGAGTTGAGGAGTGTAGCGACAGAGGCCGGCATGTTTGCCATCCGAGCGAGGAGAAAGGTTGCGACTGAGAAGGACTTTTTGGCTGCCGTTGACAAGGTCATCAAGGGTAACCTCAAGTTCAACTCGACTGCCACGTACATGCAGTACAACTAAGGGATGTTGCTCATCCCATCACAAGTGGCTCTCCACTTGTAGGTTGAGAGCTAGGACTGGCGCTGTACGAGTAGTCACGAAGGCGCTTTACTGCCACTTAGATGATAGAGTTGTAATGCATCTTTCCGAATCATGATTGACTTTCTTCTTGTGGGTTTCAACTTCTCGTTGATCATAGACTGGTAGTTATTAGAGTTCAACCACTAGTGTACTCCAAAGTATCAACGTCACATTATCACATTAATCATCAGCACTATAAGCAGCGAATACTTACTCCACCACCACCGTCTCCCCAACATCACACAGCCCAATCTCCACCCCCCACTCCAACCCCTCAGCCTCTGCACATTTCCGCCAGCGCTCCGGCGGCTCAGTAACAGGCTCGTAATTGACCGAGAACCCACCCCTAAACGTTCCAAAATGCATACCCACACTCCTCTTACTCCTCACATCCCTATGTATCGCCACCGAATCCTCGGGACTAGAATGCTGTCCGGACAGCACCGAGCGCGGCTTGAAGCAACCCACTGGTAATAAGGCGAGATCAAAGGGACCATACAGGTTCCCTATGTCTTTGAAAGCGGGACAGGGAGGATGCGGCGCATCGTGGTGCGAGTACTGCTCGTCAGAACTGACGTGACAGTATCCCGTGTCACCCGCGAAAAACAGCGACTTGGCTCCTGTTATCGAGGAGGAGGCCTCGCGAAGTACCCAGCTGCACCAAAGTGTAGCGTCGAAATTCCAGGGCGCGCGACCTGAGCGGTGTTGGGCGGGCGTGCAGATTATATCTACGCTTCCTACTCCTTCCGTCGAGAGCGTCACGCCATTCCACCAGTCCAGCTCTGAGACTTGGTCTGCGGTGATGCCGGCCCCGAGGCCTATGATGACGGGTTTGACGTTTAACCCGCAGAAAATGCGCAAGTCCCCATTTTGCTTCGTGTTGAGCTTGCGTAGTGTGTCTGCATCGAGATGATCGTAGTGGTCGTGGCTTATGCATACGGCGTCGATGTGTGGTAGGTCGTCGATGGTGCAGGGCGGTGGTGTGAAGCGTACGGGGCCTACCATGCCGTAGGGTCCTACGCGCTCGCTCCAGACGGGGTCGACGAGGAGGCGTATGCCTCTTTTGCTAGATTCTAAACGGGTTGTTTCGAGTAGGAAACTTGCGTGGCCGATCCATGTTACCTTGAGCCCGTTGCGGGTGGTGTTGAAATCGGGCTTGCGGACTTGGACGAGGCCGGCGCGGTCGCTGGGGACGGGGACAAAGTTTTTGGGTGTTGTGAAGCGGGTGCGTACGGCGGTGGCTATGCCGCTAGGTTTGTAGGAGGGCCATGGGTTTTTGAAGGATGTTGGTGGATTGCCAATGTGGTGGGCGGTTGTGTATGCGTCTGGTGTACGCGGCGCGAGTGCTGCTATGGTGGACGTAGAAGCCATTTCTGGTACTCTACTATGCTTAAGAAAGCGTTTGAGCACGCTGGAATCTGTGAATAACTGCGCATGATTGCGACGCTGCAAGTGATGATGTTATAGCAAATGTATGACGGAGCTGGTAACGCGGAGATAGTCCATCGGAGAGAAAGTTGTCCCGCAGAACAACAGCGCAGCCAGACTGCGCCAGATCAAAGAGCTCTTCCAACCACCCTACAGACCGATATGACTTCATGCTCGGTTCAATTCGCAACGGTCGTTCTACACCTACGTTCTCGAGCATGTCTAGCCCCGGAGCTGAAATCGCGTCGAGACAAGCATTCACCAGGTGGCTTGGGGGCGTGCTTCTCTTATCGTCCAATGGCGCGCACACGTGAGCCCATCTAGCTTACACGCAGGTACCTCACCTTACCCACCTTTCGCCCATGGCCGACGCCCGGCCTTCGTACCTTGCAACCGCGGGAATACTTACCTTCTAGAAAAGGCAAAGACCGAATTTTTTTCGACCTGGAGCTGCAGCGGACCATACGTTTACATGCGTACTAGTAAGGGCTGTGGCCAAATTTTTTTAAAGAATATAATAGAGCCGTGTTTTCCTCAGCTGTGAATGATTATTTGCATTGCACTTCACTGAGCATTCCCCTTCAACACCATACCAAGATGAAGGAACACCTCCCCAGGGCCCTCGCCCTCACCCTCCTCACCACAACCTCCACCGCACAACTCTACCCCCTTCAATCCCCCCTCAACCACACCTGCCAACTCCAACAACCCCTCTTATCCTGCCCATCCCAAGATGCCTCTAAGGTAGACTCCTGCTGCACCGAAACCTTCGGCGGCCTCCTCCTCAGCACCCAATTCTGGAACACTCACACCGGCCTCGAATCCTCCGGCCAGTACCTCCCCAAAGATACCTGGACCCTGCACGGCTTATGGCCAGACTTTTGCAACGGAAGCTACACTCAGTATTGCGATTTGAATCGCCAGTACGATCCGATTCCCTCGCCCAACACAACGAATGGCTTGCCGAACGGCACCGTTGTTCCCGCCTATACGGGACCTAATATTGATACCTTCCTCGAGCCCTTTGGCCGGTACGACCTCCTAGAGTACATGTCAACGTACTGGGTCGCCTGGCAACAAGACAACGCGGGCTTCCACGCCCACGAATTTTCTAAACACGCAACTTGCTTTTCTACCTTTAATGTGCCGTGCTACGGTCCGCTGTACCGCCAGCACGAGGATGTGGTGGACTTTTTCGAGACGGCGGTCAAGTATTACAAGCGCTTTCCGACGTTTGAGTGGTTGAACGAGGCGGGCATTACGCCGTCGAATGGGTCGATACGGTATTCGTATGAGGAGGTTGTAGATGTGTTGGCGGAGAGGCATGGTGGTGTTCCGTTTTTGGGGTGCAGTGGGCCCAGGTTCAACGAGACGGTTGCGGGGAGGAATAGTACGGATAGGGGGTTTACGGTGTTGAACGAGGTGTGGTATTATGAGCATGTAAGTATTATCGAGTTTTTTTAAGGCCGAGGATTTTTTTTTGCTAACGAGGGGTTTCTTAGGTCTACGGTCGCCCTCAGGAAGGAAACACTATTCCTGTTAATGCGTCGGCGAGTTACCTGACGAATTGTGCGAAGACAAAGGGCGCGATTCTCTACCCGGAGCGAACGAATGGATCGGAAAAGGTTCCTGCGGTTCCGTACTAAAGCAGGTGCAGTGGCTGTGAAGAATCTTTCTTGTACATTTATAGCATGTGAATAATGGATGCGGATAGAAAAGGAACAGCAACGTATGTATGACAACTGCAGCAACATTAAGACAAAAGAATATAACTTCATAAATAATCTATCTATATAGGTAACATTTACTATTTTGAGAAGATTAACCTATTAAGCTTGTACATGTATACAGTCATCGTCATTGGCCGCTGAGCTTTCTACTGCCCTGGTTTCTGAGCCAGCCTTCGAGCCAGCAGCAGCAGTAGCATTTCCGTCTTCTGCTTGTTTTGTCGCAGTCTCTTCATGTGCTTTGGCGTGCTCACCAGATCGCTCGGGAGCCTGCCTTTCATCCTCGTCCTCTTCTTCCTCGCCTTCCTCTTCATGTCCTTCTTCGTCTTCCTCGTCCTCTTCCTCCTCATGCTCTTCATCCTCGTCAGCAGCATGACTATCAGCCCTGTCCATATCTACATCTTGTCTTTGTGAGCTTTGTTTTCGCCTGAGACTCGCATCATGTTCATTTTGAACCTTTTCAACAGACTTGTCTGTCTTGGCTGCAGAACGGTGACCATGTGAACGCGTGTGAACAGTGTGGTCCCATTCTTCTGAAAACACTTGGCTAGCATAGTCATGTTGCTTGCGCGATGCATCCAAACCTTCAGGGAAGATCTTGCCCATGATCGCCTTGTGCTTATCGGTCGCGTTTGGGTGTGCTGCAAGCCCAGCAGGGCTGGGTGTGTCAGCCGCACTGACCGGAGCCGCGTATTGGATGTTTGTGGGCGTAGGGGAGTGGCTAGACTCATTTTCCTTGCGTGCATGCACCTTGCGCAGATTGGCGGCTGACGATTGCGAACGCATGTCAGGACGGCCATCCTTTCGAATAAGCACACCATCTGCATTTCGCACCGGCTTCGTACGAGTCCTCTTTGCAGAACCGTACGCCTCACCAGGCGGCCCAAAGCTGATGCCAGCCGTCACCCCTTGTAGGCCAAGGCTCGAAGCGCGATCGTTTGTCATGTAGCCTCCACGTGCGCCACCACTGCCACCACTGCCACGGCGCGCTATGCCACTACGACCAGAGTGTGCCATGTGGTTGTGAAAGTCTTCTGGACTACCTTGTGAGCTGCGATGGCTCTGCCAGTCATCCAATTCCCATTCTGGTGTTGCAAATGTACCATGAGGCTGGACAAGCATGCTCTTTCGAACTCTACCACCCCGACTGCCGGGTCCTCCACCGCCACGCCCCCGCCCACGGGGTCGATATCCCATCATACGTTGGGAATCGGGCCGCCAACTGTCGTCTGACGGCGCATGCTGCGGGGTATATGGGGAATAGGAAGGTTGCTGCTCCGTTTGGGACGAGGGAACCTGGTCAGCTACAGGATTTTGAGATGTAATGGCGTGGGCAGGCGTTGAAAATCGAGCGTCTGTCGGTTCGACTGCGGCACGACTAGGTGGTGGTTGCGCGGCAGTGTAACCAGGGAATGGCTCAGCTTCGCCCAGCTTTGGCCGCTTTGGGGAACTTGGCCCATGCATAGTGCTCTCCTGGGGACTGTCCATGCCGCTTTGGGAACTTCGCTTTACTCCCGCGTTGACAGTCGCCCATCCACTGTTCTGACTAGACACAAGCTCAGTTCTTGGTATGGCTTCCACTAGAGGCTTGGGTGCCGGCTGTGCAAACGATGGCTGGTGGTGCTGGCCACTCGAGGCACGACGAGATGCATCGCTGGCTTGTGGAATTATTGGAGTAGTGGGGTGGGATGACACTGAGGCATGAGTCGATGGGATAGGTGCAACTGCCGTCTCACGTGGAAGCTGGAATGTGTGCGACGGCGGCTGTGATGACGCAGCCTTGGCACCTTCTTCGAGCCGGTAGATTTTGTTCTTCATGATTTCAATGTGGAGCTTTAGATTGTCGAGATCGCTCGTCTTGTGCGACATGACGGCGATTTGTTGCGCGATGAGTTCGAGCGCCGAATCTTGAGCGGCCATCTGGTGGCTTGGGGAAAAGACGGATTGGCGTGATTGCTTGTCCATTCGCCAAGCCTCCATCTCTCGGCTGATGGCTTCCATTGCCTGACGCATGCCTTGCATTTCGTGTTGTAGTCGTGCTGCAGACTCTTCCACCTTTTGGATGTCGGCCGTCTGACGGAACAACTGGGCCTGAAACTCGCGGCGAAGGGATTCCTCGACACGTTGAAAGGTCTCTTCGCCTCGACGTATATCGCGAGTGTGAGCAGCCAGGGCGCCGCTGTTTTGAGAAATTTGTGTTTGTAAACGCTCAATAGCGTCCATGCTCACCACGCCAGGTGAGCGAGGGTACTGGTGGCCATTTGTTTGCGATGTTTCGGGAGCAGGCTGTGGTTTAGACACACTACCTCGAGACTCATGCACATCACCAGTAGGGTGAATGGCGGATGCTTGTTGCGGTGAATCAGCCTGGTGTATTGGCTCCGCTACGGGGGATGCAATTGAGGGTCTTTTGCCCGGTGCTGGTTGAACAGCGCTGTGCAAAGAATTGGTCACTGGAGGAGAATGTATCGATGACGATAGTTGTTTTCGCGACTGTCTGTCGTGTTCAATGGGGTACATGAGATGTTGCTTTGCGGTATCGCGATCATGACGTATGCCCATTTGGGTATGAGAATACGCCGATTGGTGCAACGACGGCATACGTGTGTCAACCTCCATGGCTTTGGTCCAAGATGGGTTGGGAACGTTGTTTGGTGGTGAAGAAGATGAAGAAGACAAAGGAGGAGGACTAGGCGTCTCCTCGGCTCCTAATAGGTCTGGCGCAGTGTCTTCACGGGGTTCGATGAGAATGATCTGCCCTGGTGCTATCTCATATTGCAGCTCAATGCGGCTTAGGTTAAAGAGATCGCGGCCACTACGCGAAATAAGATGTTAGCTGTCTGAGGTAAGTTAAAGCAATAAGCTTTATGTGTATTTGAATGAATAGTCATCAAGGCCTCATCGACAGCAAGATGCAAACACATCACTCGGTGAGCGATGCAAGGGAGGTGACTCACCGAAATTTCCCTTTGCCGACAGGCGCATTGATGACAGTGAAACCAATTGATGCCTCGCGGCAGCCAGGGTGTGGGCAGGACAAAGGCTGGATGGTGCTGTTAAGGTGTCAGCTAATAGGTAGAAAAGTGTACGGACGTGAACGGAACGGCAGTAATGCGGAACGTGGGGAGACAAGTAGCGGACTGGCGGGTTTAATAGATGAAAAACGTATAGTGTGGAAATTGTTTGGACCGCGCTAGTGCAAGTGTGCTTAGGAAAGAGAAGAAAAATTAAAATACCATGTCACTGAACTATACCGGGAGGCGACAACGTATATCGAAGGGCGCCTGATGATGTGATGGCTGACTGCTACCAAAAGGGGAAAATGTGCGAAGGGAGAAAAGACATGCGAGGGCTAATAAACTTACCATCCATCTAGAGCCGTGTCCTTTGACGCGGGCTCAGGGTTGCCAACAATTTTTAGGCGCGACGAGTAGGAGCCGAGTAGGGCAGGAACATGAAGGGTACCAGTGATTCGACTCCACGAGTTGTAAAAGTCGCCTACGTGGGAGCGGCAATGCCGGCAGTAGCCCTTTGTCGATCGAGCGATGATGGGGAGCAAAGCAGCAGGTGGCGGGGGTCTAGCAGCACTTTGGGCAAAGGGCGGTGCCGACTGCTGAACTCTAAACTGGTCGGCATTTCCATGCACAATGGATGCAGTGTGAGACGCAGAGCGGTGATGTTGTTGGGTGCTCATGCTGTCTGGAGTAGTCTACTAATACGAAACTGTCTTGTGCTTGCCGTAGCCAGCCCATTGAGACGGACCGAAAGGATGGATCTCCGAGCCACAGTATAGGCAAGGGCACGAGGATCTTGCGCTTGTTGCTCGCCAACTGCAGGTAAGCGGAGTAATACACCGTAGGAGTCAGGAACAGGAATGCTCTATAGTGATTACCAAAGGTGGGCAAGGGGATGGTCCAGCACAGACGTCGAGGGTGCTGTGAACGCCAATTGCGCAGTGCAGGCAGAGGTGGTGGCACTGCAGGAGGGAGGGTGTGTGTGTGTGTGAGAGTGAAAGAAGAATCAATGGATGGATAGGACAGGCGGATGGAAGGGTGGGATCAAGTGTTGAATGAGTGTGGGACAGCAGCGAGTGGGATTGGAGGCGGCAGCAAGGGCCAGGAAAAGGCAAAGAAGGGGAGCGCACGTATACCGTGCGGCCAGGGTGGAAAAGCAAAGTTAGGGAGAGAGTTAGTTAGGACAGGTGAAATGATTAGCACAGGCTTATTCATTACTGGCTGGCCGCGAGTCCCGGTGGGGCCTAGCGCGCCTCGTTATTTAGAGGTGCTCTATCAGCTATTACGAATAAGCCTTTGAGCCGTGTGGTGTCGCAAGCTCGATGCGCTAGCTGTTCCGCATTGTGCATCAGCCCTTCAGGCCCTCACCGGGCGATGCTCCTTTTGACGTCTGCCGTTTATGCGGGTGGGCCATGTACGGTAAGATGCGACGCTGCTCGAGTAGTGGCATTATGTATGTATGTATGTATGTAAGTAAGTATGTAACTATACTTACTGCCCATATAAGTACACACTGCCCACCACAAGACGCCCAATTAATAGACACGGGCAGCCACCCTGTCCTTGTATACATACACATATACATATATATACGTTACCTACACATCCATGTTCCCGGTAGATAAACTTACTTCATACTCGATATACGTAAGTATGCATACATATATACCACATATACACAATCGAGTAAGCAGCGGCTCGTCACGAGCATCATTGGCCAGTGTCGACGACTCCAAGGTTTCATGGTCGTCATGGCCCAACAAGCATGGCAGACGGGGTGATAAGACCAGCGCACGGAGGCTATTGAATATATTTACATACATACATACTATATACACTTACATTGCAACTATAAAGTCTGTCTTTTCTTGTACGTACCACAAACGTATAGCGTTGGTGCCTCTTTGTCTCTGATATAGCAGGCCCAGATTACTCTTGCCCCCAATAAGGCAAGCCCTCTGGACATGGCGCCAGCTCGTCACGATCTGGGCACTATCATGCTGCTATACGGCGGCAAGATAGCAGCTTGGCTAGCGTCCCAACTCGCAGATCCCCATGACCGCTAGGCTACTACCAATCCAGCCCATCATGTAGTCATCCGCTTTGCAAAAAATTTGATTTTACTTTCTGGATCCGACACTATGGGGCGCTAACATAGCCTTAGCCAAACATGATATGAGCAGGGTTCTTGATTGTCGTCCGTGCAATTGACATGCCAACTGGCCCAGTAATATCTACTTGGGCACACTGAAACGGCAATTAGACAATTTTACCCCCGGCTGCATTCAGCCGATCGTTGCATCCCCCAATGCACACTAACGTTTCCGGTACCCCCTCGGCATCCGCTCTTTTCCATACACTTTTCTCAATTACCCGTCATTACCTGTCGGACCCAACTGCCTGTTTGCTCAAACACGCCGACATTATACGTATCACAAATGCTTTAGCGTTGGCGCCCGTGGCCAAACACAAAACGAGACACACACTTTGCTCTCGTAATAATATCCTATCTAGTACTCTACTTAACCACCATGAACCCGACACCATTGCGTGCATCCTGGCATGCCTTGGACAATGCCTGCACCTCCGTGTCTGTCCATTGTACGCTAAGATTGTCCCATTTCTTCGTTGCAAACTCACGCCGGTACTGCTGGTTCATGGCTTGCAGGCGTCGAATGTCTCGAGGGTCGCCCGTCCCACTGTACACAATAAAGGCCGTGCAGCATGGCAGGGATTTGTAAACCTGGCTGATCCGCTCAACCGTCCTCGAAACAGCTTCGCCAAGCTCAGCGCCTTGTAGCTCCACATCCACATCATCGCCTTGTCGACAGAAGCCCATTCGCTCAAGCGCATTTTTTCGAATCACCTCGACATCTGCTGACTTGGTATCATCCCACCATCCTCGTGCAAGCTCAAGTTCCCGCAGACGGCCCCAGACAAAATCAATCTGGTCGGCAGTCCCATCTCTGCCCTCGGCTTGGCCCTTCAAGGTCCGATCAATAGCTTCGACCACTTCATCATCCATTTTGCATCCTATCGAAACTTTAGCTTGACCACCATGGCCTCTATTCGGATCACCCCAGTCAATCACCGCTCCCGCTCGATGAGCGTCGTTTGACTTTGGTCGCATGCTCCGTCCTAGTCTTTTAAAGATCGACTCGGCGTTGGTGTCACTCGAGCCCCACCTCGGGCCCTTTTCACATTTTTGCTTGACCAGATCAAGACATGTTCGAGCGTCTTCTACACTGTCGTGGCCCTGTGACCCTTTCTGCACTTCGCGCTTGAGATACTTCTGCGCAAGCCATTTCAGCGACTGCTTGTAGGGCGGGCCGCGCGGATGTGGATAGAGAATACCCGTGTCGACGATAAAGGGATGAGTCAGCTTGAGTGCATTGAGATCGGAGTTTAGCGAATGTCCCACAAGGATTGTCCGCGGAGTAATGAGCGCTAATAGCTCCTCTTGTATGTCGGCAAGTGTCGTTGTGACATCCTGAAGCATGGCCGCTGTAATACCCGACCACTGCGTTAGATGGTCCTTGATGCCAATCTCGGGCTTGACAAGCTTATCCAAGACTACGTTGCCGTCCCAATCCATTAGACTGATGCGCGTAAGCACAAGCTCATCGTTCTCGGCTTTGCACATTTCACAGTCCATGGAGAGGATCTGTCTCCCAGCACTCAGACTGCCTTGCTCTATCTCTTCTTCGGGTACTTGTCCTTCGTCTAGATTTGCGACATGGCTATCCACCCAACCGTCATCTGCAGTCTGGTTGGCGAGTTTCCTCCTCTCTTGGTTAGCCTCCTTGGATTCGAGCGTCGTGAACATGGCTGGATGCAGTACATATTCGTTCTCCTGTTGCTCCATGAGTGTGGCGATATACTCGGTAATGCGTGTGCGCTTGTTCTGCCAATGACTTGAGTTCTGTGGCATGGGCCCCTTGTGGTTGCCGGTTCTCTTCATTTGCTTTTCTTCTTGCGTCTTTGGAATCTGCGAGGTGAGCATGGTGTGGATGGGCGAATGGAGGCGCATGTACTGGTTGTTGCGGTGTTCTCCAATGGCTTTGATGGGCCACACGTGCTCGAAAATGTCGGATAGAGGCTTCAGTGGTGCAGGCAGCCGTTCAGGCTTCAGACTGGCCGGGTAGAAGTCGCTGGACGAGATGGACAGCCGCTTTGGCTGGGACTCGGTGGCCTCGTCTCCTTGGGCGACTTGTCCGGGTTGTGAGGCGGCTTCCAGGTCAACCTGTCCGTTAAACATGCCCACGTCCAAACCCGGGACCATGAGCATAACAACCTGCTGGATGTTTGCACGGCTTCGCACAGAAACCCACTGAGGCGCTGTTCCGTCAGCAAGCAGATATAGCACCAGCGCCTGCAGGTCTGTGATCTTGACATGCGAATTGAGGCGTGCATGGTGCGAGTGCTCAATAGCCGGATAGCTCCTCTGCAGCTTTCGTTCCTTCCTGCGCTGCTCCTTGGACAGGCCGTCGTCCTTGTGCACGACCGAGGCATCTTGGGTGGGAGAGGGTGAGGGTGATGCAGAGTCACGTGAATTGTGCTGCTTTCTTCTCTTGCCGACAACTGTCCAGCCTTCCGTAGCTTCATCTGGCTCATCTTCGCCGCGCATGTGCGCCAAAGTTGCGCCCAGCCCGACGTCGACTGGACGCCGGTCGTCGAAAGCACTGCGTTTTCTTTTGGCCATGTCGCCACTTGTCCGGTTTGGCGAGGCGAGATTGGGCCGCTGCAGTTGTGTGCAAGAGTCGTGTTGCGCGATGTTCACAAAATGTTTGCCCGTCGACCGCACTGACGTGACGCTAGTAGCAGGCGGCCCTTCCGCCCTCTGGACCGCACTTGGTTTTCATCTTTGCATCTCGCTATTGCTCCTACACACACATTCCACAATGTGACCAGATGCGTTCCTTTGGCCGACGCGATTCTGCATGCTTCAATCGAAGTCATTTAGTCCCAAAATTAGGAAATTTTCACGCTGCGGAACGACCCCTTGATGCATGTTAGCAAACACCCAGCCGGCTCTGGGAGGACGTCCCACGGTATCCTTGTTGCGGTTCCCTCAACCATCCGAGTATGAAATCTACTGATGTTTTGTTTCCCTAGGGTATGGAAGTGAAATACTATTAATAGTTATGAGAGTTTTGAGCTGGATATTTTCACTATTTGCGGCTACTGATTACCAGGGGCCCTTTGTCGACTTAGCGCATTGCAATGGCTCCGATACGAAGTAAGACCCGCATGGCCGCCTTGCTCAAGTTTCGGGACCGATGGTATTGTGGATCTCTCCGGAGCGCAATCTATCCAAATTCGTAATAGTCACATACTGCTCGGCCCGGACGTGGTAGCCACATGGCTCTGACTCTCTCCACACTATCCTGTTGATTTTCACATAGCAACAGGCTTTATCGGGCAGGGAAGCGGCAAGGCCTCGAAGGTTTGACACTTCATCGCTCATCAGGCCTAGATCTCATGAGTCTAGTTTCCCATTTACCGCAATGCAAAAGGCCATGGGCTTGTTCATCCACTTTAACATTGTACAGATACGGACTGGGTCTAAAGGTCAATACAGCCAATTTGCGGTCGAGCATCTAGACAACTCGTGTGCCTCGGCAAGACCTATGGAATGCACTGTTTTTTTTCAGCCCAACTCAAGGCAACCCGTTCCTGAAGTATTCCTGGAGCAATGTCTTAACAGTGGTTGCACAATGCCTCGTATAGGCCCTCTTGTCGCTGGCCCTTGAACTCAGCTATTACAGACAGTTGCATAGGGAGCAAGACGCATTTCTGGGAACGAAATTGGTAAGGTCGTCCAAAGCCCCATCGTCAACTCATAGCCGCATGGAGCACATCCTGAATAATTCTACACTAAGCTCCTTAGGCTAGAACCTGTAGTGCTCTGCGGACACTTGGCATATGTACATTTGTTTTTTATTAGCATAGCCATCAACTGAACTGATCCATGGCGCAAAGTTCATTTATGTTCCAAGTGTTGTACGACAAAACGTGTTGTGCGCCTTAACATGATCTGCGTTAGTAAGCCTAGTCTACATTATAAACTACCTATTTGCCTCTAGTCCCCCTGCGCCAACAACACCGCTCCGAAAACTAGTTTCCAGAGTACTTGGCGTTGCAGCTGAATAAACTCACGTGCAGGCTTACACAGCGCATAATGGCGATGAGGATGTTCATAATTGTATCGCACGGAATTATGGTGGAATCCTTCAGGAGCAAAAGATCTTCTACATACTACACATGCCAAGCTAGTGGTGTCACGGCGTGTATCAAAAGAGAAGTCGTTAATCAGGCATCAAGATGAACTCCGACAGACAGTTCAACATAAATATCAACCACAATCACCTCCTTCTCCCTCACAACGCACAGCATCTGATTCCCGCATCCTCAAGACTCACAGCTTTGATTCATATCAAGTTCACCGGTAAAACTCCCCTGGCATTTGAGCTGCACAGCTCAGTTCTCCGAACAAATAACTAAAAGTTTTCAGAACTCCAACATCAATCACAATGTTCGCCTCCGGTTGGAAGAAAGCCCTCAGCGTCGCAGCCGTCGTGCTCGCACTCTCAAGCGGCCAAGTCCTCGCAGCCTGCACCGACGGTCCCGGATGGACCCCTGAAGAATTCGCCGAATACCAGTCTCTCAACGACACCGCCGGTTGGGCTGGCATGGAAAAGCTCGTACAGTGCACCGTCAACGCCGATGAACTCACTCCCGCCAAATCCCAAGGAAGGATCGAAGCTCGAGCCGGAGGTCGCCAGTGGCAGGGTTATAGCGCCAGTGGATGCTCTGGCGGTCAAACTGCTGTCACGTCCGGCTTTGGATGCGGTGTTTGCGTCAGTGCTACCAACTTCTATTTCTACAGTGGTTGGCTGTGGAGGGAGCGCTCGGGGAACCCTTACCCTACTGCTGATTACTACACTCAGTCCGGGTGCCGCGGAACTAAGCTTCATCACCAGGGTATTGAGGGTAGCCAGACGTCGTCTTGCAATGACGTTACTCGCGCTGCGTCTGTTATTCTCTACCAGGGTTGCTAGTGGACATCACGCATGAGTTGGATACGGATGCTGACGACTGAGGGGAAGGGACGGGGTTGGGGGGTGGAGGATGTGTAGGAAAGGGTGAGAGCGCTTTTGGACATTCGTTTATACATACTTTTGACTATTTTGTATCTTTTGCAATTGCTGAGTGGCTCGGATGTACTGTTTAGGCTATCAGTCAATTTAAAAGATCTTATAACTCGCAGTGACATGGAATAAACATGTGTGCAAGACTTTAATCTTACTGTCCTGACGTCTAGTCCTTGTTCTAGACCCTGTCCATGCTTAAAATTATGTAAATCCTTGAACTAAGCAAAAATAGCAGAACCCGTTGGCTGTTGTCACTTCGAATATGCCTGTAAATTCAAGTCCAAAATGTTTCCCAAGCTGTGGTAAGCTAAGGATGGCAACAAGATTTTCATGCCATTTGCTAAAGTCAAGCATAGCGTATGGAATTGATCGCAGTCTAAATGCAGAAAGAACAGTGCCTATTGTAGACTGCTCATTTGAATTCACAATATAGCGTGTACACTGGGAGCATGCTCTTCGACTAGTTTTGAATAGATAATCCATCTTTGCTATTCAAATATGTCCCGACTCAATACGCAGTTTGTTGTTAAAATTAGCGTTGTTTGTTTTACTCTGGAATAACATGGTCTTTGGCGTCGACACCCGTTTTCCATCGATAGGTCGACGCAACATGCTCGTCAGGAGGGCCTGTCTGTCCCTTGGTTCCATAGAAGTTCTCTCGGTACGTGCCACCAGGAACTGCATAGTCGTCCCAAAACACTCCACGCTTTCTCAACTCTGGAAGCAGTAGCTCTGCAACATCTTTGAAAGATTGAGGAAAGAGTGTATATGCCTATTCATGTGTTAATTCAGTAATAGCACTCACAAGAAAATTGACTAACAATATTGAACCCATCTACATCGGCTTCTTCGACCCATGTTTGGAAACCGTCTGCTATCTGAGACGGCGTTCCGACAAATATAGGGCCAATACCACCAATGCTGATATGCTCTGCCACAGTATGTTTAGTCCATTTGGATGTACCGGGCGAGAAGCGAGCGAATCCCTCCACTGTCGACCGCACCGCATTGCTATCAACGTGGCGCAACTCCTCCTCGTCGCCATACTTTCCCAAGTCGATACCAGTCCAGCCACAGAAAAGTGACAATGCACCTTCCAATGACGCATACTTCCGGTACTCTGCAAGCTTCGCTTGTGCCTCCTCTTCTGTCCTGCCTATAATGGGAGTCGCAAGGGCCAGAAATTTGATGGAACGCCCATCTCTTCCAAACTGCGTTGAAGCAATCTCCCTGATCTCAGCAATATTACCTTTACAAACAACAGGCGCGTGCGCAGAAACAAAGATTGCTTCTGCATTTTGCGCTGCAAAAGATTTGCCTGCTTTCGAGGCACCCGCTTGCAGAATCAACGGAGTCCGTTGTGGACTAGGTTGGCAGATATGCGGACCGGGTACTTCGAAGTATTTACCTTTATGGTTGATCTGTCGGATCCGATTTGGATCAGAGAACATGCTCTTCTTTCGATCTCGAACAACAGCATCGTCTCGCCAAGAAGACTCGAAGAGCTTGTACATGACCTTGACATACTCTTCAGCTTGGGCATAGCGTTCGTCGTGCTATCCAAGTCAGCAACATACTTCCATCGTCAAGAGCACTTACCGGCAACTGCTCCTTCATGCCCATGTTCCTCGCGGCGGAATCGAGATAGCTCGTCACAATCTACTAGAATTACCAGGAGTATCTTTGGTCGGAATTGGAGTCTCTTACATTCCAACCTAGTCTGCCAAGTATCAGTAACTGAATCAGTATCCAGGAAAGAAGAACATTGGCAACATACCGGCCCTTTGTCAGATGATCAACAGTAGATAGTCGCCGAGCCAAATGATACGGCTGTTCATAAGTAGTTGACACAGTCACACCGAAACCAATGCTTTTGGTCGCTGCAGCCATTGCACTGACAACTGCCAGCGGCTCGTTGACTGGCCACTGCGCACCTGACCTTATTGCTGCATCAAGGTTACTATTGTACACATCGTAACCCCCGATAACATCAGCTATGAAGACGCCATGGACTTTGGCTTCCTCGAGTAGCTTTGCAAGGTCTACCCAATGGTCGATGTTATTGAACTCATGAGAGCGGTCGTCAGGATGTTTCCATAATCCTGGCGACTGATGGCCACTGCCTGTACAGAATCCAGAGTCAGTTCTCCAAAACTCTCTCCAACTGTCCTATACAGTATATACTGATTCCGATAGGACGAAACGCCTATCAACTTGGACTTACACATTTCCACAAAGGCATTGATGATCAACTTCTTTTTAGGCTTGTCTTCGCCATTCTTTTGCCTCCCATTTTTCGTAGCTTCACCACCATTTTCTCGCTTCCTTTTGGCCATGTTTAGCGGTTGTAGGTGTCCGGAGTTTGGCTGTTCAATCTCGCCGAGACACATGCGAGGAGGTTGAGGCTGATGATGTGATTTCACCCGCTTTTAACGCCATCGCTTATCTGTAAACTCTAACAATACTCGAGCCGAGATACAGTAATCCGAACCACTACTTCTCAACGCTCTCCTCCGATATAGGAACTACTCCACTAATGTAGTACATTTCTGGTAAAGGTAGTTCGGCCCTTCGCTGCCACCTTACCCCGCTGCCGTGTCACGCCAGACTACTCCAACATGGCGACAACCCTCTTACTCCACCCAGTGCTTCCTTTCCAGGCACGCACGCAGATCTAATGCATTTTTAGCCTGTCTAGCATACGACGCACTATGATGAACCTTTATGGCGGGACGCGATATGCGTGGGGCTGTCGGCAGGACACTCACCCAGTAGGACTTTGGCGCGGGTGCAGGAACTTTGAATGACCTTAAAATGTCTCACTCAAGCCATTGATATCACAAATAACAATGGAATCAACAAAGAAACGCATGCGAAGCTCCGCAGCGCAATCCCCTTCGAGATCCTCATCTGGGAAGAGAGCGAGAATACAGGACCAGTTTCAACAGAGAACATCAATATCACAACCACCTTCAGAGCAGCATGCACTGCTGTTACATGCAGCCCGCCAGCCATATGACCTCTCGACCAGTCACACTACTCCAGCCATCAAATTTAGGAATGAACTTCTGATCAAGGTTGAAGCCATTGGGCTGAATCCAATTGACTGGAAAGCACCGTAAGCCTTGAACTTAGTGGCACCGCTCCTGTTTTCTCTTCGTCTCACATTCAACAGCGATTTTGGTTTTGGAATCCCGACACTGCCCTATATAGCAGGCCGAGAATTCGCTGGAACCGTTATCAAAGTAGGAGACGAGACATCATCTCGTTTGAAGCCAGGCGACATTGTGACTGTACCCTCGACTGATTATCGTGACCTCCGCAAAGCTGCATATCAACAATACAGCATCGCTTCGTCATTCAACACAATCAGAATCCCAAAAGACATTTCCATCAACTCCGGTAGCATCCTCGGCGTTGCATTCGTATCAGCCGTCCTTGCCTTGGGAATATGCATGGGCGTAAACTTCAGAAATATCGAAAATGGCCCTGATCTCCTCGAGATAGTACGAAATCTAAACTCTGAAGTACTTCCTGCAGACATACGTCAAGAATGCCTCTCCAGCATCTCGCACACCGAACGTGCCAATCCCGGAGATTTCCTCGTAGTCTGGGGCGGGAGCTCAACCTGCGCACACATAGCAAAGCAACTCGCACGTCTCGCAGGCCTCAAAATCATCTCCGTAGTCGACACCGCGAAGCATGGACTCAGACTCTCAAATACCAACCACATCCGCAGTGACCTGATTGTCGATTCGCACGACCCACAGCGAGCAATACAGATTATTCGGGCTAGCACGGGTCACAGCGCACGCTTTGGCTTCGACACAATCGGCAAGGAAACGGCTACGCACCTCCTCCATAGCCTGGCGCATCCCAGCGAACATGCTAAGAATTTGGACCGCGCGGGGGCAAAACCTCCAACTCCACCGTCGACCCCGCTTGGGGAAAGCCCGCAGACTGCTCGCTCGCATCTTGTGGGCATGACCGGATTGCCTAAAAAGGACGTGCCGGGAGGTGTCGTATTGCATAGTGTGCCTATAAAGCTTTACCATGAGGTACCCGAGGTAGGTGAAGAGATTAGTGCGTGGTGCGAGCGGCTGCTGATCAAGGGTCTCTTGGTGCCGCCGGATGTCGTGGGGGTTGTAAAGGGTCTGGGTGAGATTAACGGGGGACTGGATAGAATGCGGAGGAGAGAGGTTAGCGGAGGGCGACTGGTAGCTGTGCTTGACTGATGACCGGGGGAAATCTTTGCATTCGATTGATGATACAGAAAATTGACATAGGTGTTAGCGGTACAGTGTATCCTGTTAATACCAAGGTCGTTAATATATTTGCTTAGGTCTTTGTTTGAGGTTATGATAATCCAGAAAGTGCCTCACAGTTATTTACGCGGAAAATAGTATCACGAATGCATTTCTATTCTTAAATCTACAATACCTACCTTACCACTGTTCTACCAACCACCAATGACATCCCTTACTTTCCCACTTCCGGTGTTGCATCCCTTGCAACAACGCCCGAATCCACCTGCTCAATCGCCGTCAATTTCTTGCCAAACCCCTAATCACCAACCATGCCGGCCAAAGCGAAACTCCCCACAACGCGAAATTCCAGTAGATTGCTCCCACCTCTGCAAAAACCTTGATGCTGGTAATACCATAACTAACCGCCTGCCACGCACTCTCCGTGCCCCTGAGAAGCGCCGCATACCTGATAACTTCTTCTTCATTCTCCGCCAAATTGCCAATGACGAAGTACAGGAACAGGTAGTTGATTTGGAAACCGATGGTCAGGAATATGAAGACTGCAAAAGCACGGCCGAAGCCATCAGATACCCAGTCGTAGGTCGGTCGTGAGTTACGGAACTCCGTGGCGAGAACAGTGGCCCAGATCCACCATGCGCCTTGCAACGTGGCGATAGTGATGAAGGAAGTGCGGGCGCGGATTCGTAACGCAATGGAAGTCCGGTCGAGGTAGGCGCCGAGGAGGTTACCGCAGATCACGGCGATGATGCCTGAGAGGAAGGAACCGAGAGCTCGGGCGCGGACTGAGAACCAGACTGTATTTGCGAATGAAGATTAGCCTTTTGCTCTCAGAATAAGAGGATAAAAGAATTTTTGGGGAAATAAAAGTGTAACT